TAAAGAGATGGGAAGGGTGCATTATAGCACATTGGACTGTAACCCCTACAAGACGTGCAGACCTATTGATGTGACCTTATTTGGAAAAGAGGCCTGTGCAGATGTAATGAAATTTAGATGGAGTGGTACAGGAGGGATGTGATCACTTTGTCACAGTCTTTTTTTAAAAAAAGTATTACATTTATTCAATATGTGTGTGTGTGTGTGTGTGTGTGTGTGTGTTTATGCACCACAGTGTGTGTTTGTGGAGATCAGAGGACAACTTGGGGGAAATCAGTTCTCTCTGTTCATCATGTGGGTCCCAGGAATCAAATTCAGACTGTCAGACTTAGAGGCAAGTACCTCTACTCACTGAGCCATCTGGCCAGCCCAACTTCCACTCCAAGTAGAACAGAAGAGAAACAGGAGCATTCAGGATAGCAGTCTGTGATGGCAAAGGCACATTGTAGTCATGAAGCTGCAGACTAGGCAATGTCAAGGCTGGCCACACTACCACAAGCCAGTCAAGAATGGCAAGTGAGCAGATACCAAAAGTCCCAGGCTGAACCTGAGAGGAAGCCCTGTTCATTCCTTAGTTCCAGAGTTTTGGCTTCCAGAACTGTGAGGAGAAGGATGGGGTGAGGAGGAGGAGGAGGGGGAGGGGGAGGAGGAGCGAAGTGTTTTGTAAAAGTTACTCGGTGTGCTGGATAGCTTTAGTGTCAACTTGACACACCTGGGTTGAGGGAGCCTCAATCAGGGAATTGCCTCTATTGGACTGGCCTGTGGCCATGTCTGAGGGGCATCTTCTTAATGAGTGATGTGGGAGGACCCAGCTCCACCCCTGGGCAGGTGGGCCTGTATTGTATAAGAAAGCCGGCTGAGCAGAGGCCAGGAGAGCAAGCCTGTAAGCAGCGTTCCTCCATGGCCTGTGCTCCAGTTCCTGCCCTGAGTTCCTACCTTGGGCTCCCTGATGAACTGCGTGCGACCTGGGAGATGTAAGCCAAATAAACCCTTTCCTCCCCAAGTTGGTATTGGTCAGAGTGTTTTGTCACAGCAATGAAGAACAAACTAAGACACTCGGTTAGCCATACTTTCCCAGCAGTCCTGGTAAACCAGTATACATTCAAAACTAATACATAAGTTTACCACCATCATTTTCAAAATCCAATATTTTTCTATAGATAAATACGTTATTTTTAAGATTTTATTTTATTATTTTTATTTTATGTGTGAGTGTATTGCCTGCATATAGGTAGGGTCCACCCATGTCATGCAGAGGTCAGAAGAGGGTGTTGGATCCCCTGGAATTGGAGTTATAGATGGTTCTTCACCACCATGTGGGTACTGGGAAACAAACTAGGGTCCTCTGCAGGAGCATCTAGTGCTCTTAACCTCTGAGCCAGCTCTCCATACCCTGTTATTCTTTTTAAAGATTTGTTTTTAATTTTTAATTGTATGTATATATGTGTGTCTGTGTGTGGGTATATGCACGTGAGCGTAGGTGCCTTCAGAGGCCAGAAGATGGTATGGGATTCCCTGGAACTGGAGTTACAGGTAGTTGTGAGCCACTCAACATCAGTGCTAGGGACTGAACTCTGGCCCTCTGCAAGAGCACCGTGCTTTTAACCATGGGGCCATCTCCCCATCCCCATATAATGTTACCCTGAAGGTTCTATGAAAAGAAAATGCAACTGGAATAGTTAAAATTGCTTTTTTTTTTGAAGAGCAAACTGAAAGCAGAATAAATTCTACCCAATTTACTAAATAGCTACAGAAACCAAAACCAAAAAAAAAAAAAACAAAAAACAAGCAAAGGGTAAGTTAGCACAAAGGAAGCCACTCAGCATTCCTAACCACTGAACCAGCCTGATGCGCCATCATTACTGGGTCGCTCAGAACAGGAAATGACGGCACCGCTGAGCACTGGCTGGGATGCAGAGAAGATGGCTCACTGAATCGCTAGTGCACAGTGGTGCAGTCACCATGGAGAACGATTTCTACATTTTATTTAAAAACTAAGCATGCTATTGCCATATTATCCAGAAATTGCATTCCTGGGCACTTGTCCCAGAGAAATAAAGACATATGTTCATATAAAATCTGTTTATAAATGTTTATAGTAGCTTTATCTTCACACATGCAAAACAACCCCAAACAGATAGCCTCTAACGTGTCCTTCAGCGGGTGGAGATTAACTGTGGTATGTCCATACAGTAGAATATTACTCAGTACTACTCATGTCATTATGTTAGCACAGGTGCCTGTCAGAGTTTCTGAAGGAGGATCTGTTGCCTCTTCCAGCTCCCAGTGCCTCCTGCGACCCTTGATTTGAGGTGGCGTCACTCCGATCTCTGTAGCTGTCTTCACCAGGCTTCTTTCTATTTGCCCGTTCCTGTGTCTCATAAGATTCAGGAACAAACCTAGGGTGATCTCACCTCAGGATCCAAGCCTTTGTTCAATTTGCAAACACTTATTCTAGCCAGGATTGACTTCTGAGTTTCTGGATGTTATATTTTTGTGGGGGACACTTTCAACCCACTGCACTGCTGTCTTAAGGTCATTCCAGGGGTACACTTAAGGCTTCTGTCTTTGTGCCTTGCTCTGGAGCTGGTTTCGGGGGCCAGGGAAAACAATGCAGTCCCTCGAGATGATGCTGGAAAATGCTGAAGGCTCACTCCCACTCTCTCTGCAGCTGTCTGGGCTGTTGATTCTTTAATAAACTTTAATAAACACTTCAGAGGAGACATATCGGGGTGGGGAGAGTGGTTTGGACACCTGGGCATGAGGCCTTCCAGAATCAAAGAGACATGGGGTGTGTGGCTGGCACCTCTACAGATCCATTATGTGGTCATCTTTCCTGTGTGGGGTCCAAGCAGGGAGCAGGAATTTGATTCCAGAAGCTTCCTCCCACATCTGGATGCAACCCCTTTAAATAGGATTGTTCAGGTAGTGTGTGTGTGTGTGTGTGTGTGTGTGTGTGTGTCTGTGTGTCTGTGTGTCTGTGTGTGTGTATCTGTGTGTGTATCTGTGTGTGTGTCTGTGTGTCTGTGTGTGTGTGTGTCTGTGTGCGTGTGTCTGTGTGTGTGTCTGTGTGTCTGTGTGTCTGTGTGCGTGTGTCTGTGTGTGTGTCTGTGTGTGTGTGTGTGTCTGTGTGTATGTATCTGTGTGTGTGTCTGTGTGTGTGTCAGTGTATGTGTGTGTCTGTGTGCGTGTGTCTGTGTGTGTGTGTGTGTGTGTGTGTGTGTGTGTCTGTGTGTCTGTGTGTCTGTGTGCGTGTGTCTGTGTGTGTGTGTGTGTGTGTGTGTGTGTGCGCGCGCGCACGCACGCGCGCGCGCCTGTGTGTGCTCCTGTGGAGGACAGAGGTCAGCTTCAGGTGTCTTCCTCTGTTGCTCTCCATCTTATTTTTGGAGACTGAGCCTCTCACTGACGCAGGCTGGACTGTAGAAAGGGCAGATGTCCCTTTCTGCTCAACTTGTCCTTTTGGCTGTCTGCTTCCCCCCGTCCCTGACCCCTGCCCTTTTTTCTTTCCACAGGACCACATCCCTGTCCCTTACCAGCCAGACTCCAGCAGCAACCCTTCATCCACAACCTCCTCCACGCCCTCCTCGCCGGCACCCCCCCTCCCTCCCAGTGCCACGCCACCCTCTCCCCTGCACCCATCGCCACAGTGCACAAGGCAACAGAAGAATTTCAACCTGCCAGGTACCTCTGTCTGCACTGGGGAGATGGGAAGATATCCCTGAAGGGGCAGAGCAAGGGAGGGGGTTGGGACTTTGCCCAAACCAACCATGATGAGGCCAGTTCTTGCATGAAAGCAATGGATTGATGGCTAGAGAGTCAAGGAGGTCTGTGGGTAGACACTTGTCACATATTACTATATTGCATCTTTAGAGGAAACATAAAATTAGTGTCAGCTGTATTTACAGATGAGGAAACTGAGGTAGGAGGCAGTTCAAGGACTCTTAGAGATGTGTCCTTTGGTGAGCAGCAAACTGATGTCTTCACCTACCTGAGTCACATGGGAAAGGTGTCTGCTCTGTGGTTGGCAGTCACCCTATGAGCCAAACTGTCTGAAGCTCATGGCAAACGTTGTGCTGAGGGTCTTAGGGGTACACACCTGAGCTGGGCTACATTTACAGTCTCAACCCAGATGACACGCATGGCTTTGGATGGACGGTCTGAAGTCCTGGATTCAAGATCCACGTCTAGCATGTTCCAGCTGTGTGACCTCTGACTTCAGTCTCTCACACTATAAGGACAGAATCTAGAAGGTTCTACCAGCTGACACTGAGTTGTTGTCCTGGGAGGAGGCTCTGGTCTGTGAGGCAATGGTGAAAGGGCCATTTGTAAGATATTGCAACTTTTTGTTTTGCCTTGTTATTGGACCTAAGACGCTTGCTGCCTCTTCCAGGCCACAGCCAAGCCCAGTTCCTGCTCTGGGGTCCCAGGAACATCAGATCTCCACTGCTGTGCAAAATATCTGAGGAAGGGGACTGGGAAGATTGCCCAGTGGGTAAAGTGCTTACTGTGCAAGCATGAGGATCTGAGTTCAATTCTCAAAATCCATATTTAAAGAAAGAGCCTGGTGTGGTGGCCCATGCTTATAACCCCAGCACCAGGGAGGCAGAGACTGGACAATCCCTGGGCTTGCTGTCCAGCCAGCCCACTGGAATTGGTGAGCTCTAGGCAAGTGACAAAAACAAGGTGGACAGCACCTAAGGAATGACACGTAAGGTTGGCCCCTGACCTCCACACACATGTGCACACATGTACACATACAGAAATACAAATTGGACTGAGTTTTTAAAAATATTTTATTTATCATTTTTTAACTTTATGTGTATGAGTGTATTGTCTTCATGTGTATAAGTGCACCCATGTCACGCAATGCCCACGGAGGTTAGAAGAGGGCATCGGATTCAGTTGTTAATTGCCATGTGGGTGCTGGAAATCAAACCCAGTTCCTCTGTAAAAGCAGCCAGTGCTCTTAATCACAGAGCCATCTCTCCACCCCCTGGACTTGACTTTTGAGGAAGCTAATTGTCAGTTTTAAATGAGATCAGCAATGTCACTTCTAGCACTCTCTGCATGGAGATGCTTGCACTAGGCTGCAGGGATCTGTGCATTAGGACATCGTGCAACATGGAAGAGCTAAAATCAAGAGAGCGGTCCATCAAGAGAATGACCCAGGCAGGTCTTGAACACACAATCCTCCTGCCCCTGTCCCCTGAGTCCTGGGCTTAGGTCTAGAGAAATCTTCTGTCCCTGTTTTCCTGGGGTTTATACCTTCATAGGAGACTGATATGATCTACATCAACATATGCTGTGAGAGAAGACCTTACTCTGGGATGACCCAAGAGGACACGTGCAGGATGAAGGTCAGAGACAGCTGGGTCCTGAGGTAGAAAGTAGGTCAAAGGTCCTGCCATAAGAGGATCTGACAAAAGTCCCCTTGGACTATAGGCCACATATGGCACCAAAAAAGTCACAGAACTGTCAGGAGCTCAGATTCCTTTCACAACTCAATGAAGCTGGGCCCAATGTTGCCCTCTAATAATCCTAGCTGCTCAAGAGGCTGAGGCCAGATGCTTGCAAGGTCAAGGCCTGCCTGAGCTATAGAATGAGTTCAAGGCCAGCTTGGGCAATTTAGTGAGCCCCTGCCTCAAATAAATAAATAAATAAATAAATAAATAAATAAATAAATAAATAATAAATAAATAAATGCAGTTTAAAAACATAAAATGAAACAACAGGGAGAGGATTGAAGGTGATGGTGTTCCAAGGAAAGGAGGAGCAGATTAGAAAGAAGATACATTTGAAAAGCTCAGGCGGAGGGTGGTGATGGCTTCTTCCTTGTAGAATACCATGCTGGCTGTTCTTTGGGGAGCCTGTAAGGCAGGGAAGGGGATGCTCCTGAGTACAAGCTCCCTTACCATACTCTGCTTGTCTGAGTGACCCCAACTGCAGTGCCCAGGCTCCACCTCCTTTTCAGAAGCCACTCAGCTCCCCCCAGGTGCCTCCTGGAGATCGCTGACTATTCCTTCCAGACACTTCTAGAGAGAACAGGCCCTCGGGCAGCATCCCTCCTCCTCCTCTTCCATTCAGTCATCAGAAAGGCATTCTGCTATGGCAGGTGGAAGGCTGGGGTCCTCCCTGGGACTGGAGGATCCTGTGCAGTCCTGTGGCATGATGGTCCCAGTCTTATGCACAGGGGACTATAATTTTTTGTATTTTTATTTATTATTTAGTGTCTGTCTGTGGTGGTGGGAATTGAACTCAGGGCCTTGCATAAGCGAGGCAAGTGTTCTACTGCTGACTTTCAGGCCCAGAGTCCTCTAGCCCAGTCAGAACTCGGGAGGGCCAAGATCAGTTGAGCCCTCTGAGATGGGGTAGTTTTATAGGTTTAAGCCTCTTGTTGACAATGTGGTTGCATGCAATGGGAACCCTGGATTCTGTGACCATCCCGGTTGCTGGAGGTGGTTTCTTGGAGAGTTCTACTTTGTGATCCAGAACAAGTTGTTTCCTAGTCTGTGTTCTAGAATCAAAATGACCCCACCCGCATTCTGGGCATTCTAGATCATTAGAAAATGGCTAAGTGAAGGGTTTCCACTGTTTTATCTGTGATTGAAGAGGCGTTTTAGTCCATCGTGTATTTCCCAGCCATGTGTGTGAGTCTTGGAGATTATGGGATGCTAGAACGTAGCCTCTGTCCTGAAGGAGTGCGTGTAAATCAACTCTAGCCTCAAGGGGAGCGTTTCCTTTACATTTCCCAAACAAATGACTTAGTTCTTGGAACTAGCGATTGTCTCTTAAATACAAATCATTCTAGTCTGTTAGTTAAGGGAGCTGAGATTTCTTTTATTTGCCACAGCTAATGCATGCATCCCTTGGATCCAGGGTTCAAGGACCTTCGCGAATAAAGGGATCCATGGATGCTCATGTCCCTGCATAAACCACTAGTCCCTACATGTCCTCCCATACATTCTAACCATCTTTAGATGACATGTAGTGCCTAACACTGGTGAATGCTGTAGAAACAGTTCTGCTGTATCACTTAGGGAATTACAAGAAAAATGTCTATATATGGTCAGTACAGAGAAAATTTCTTTTAGAATATTTTCTATCCTGGGTTGGTTGAATCTTCAAGTATAGAACCTGTGGATACTAAAGACTAAATGCCCTTAGAATCCGCTGTATACTCCTGTGGAGTGATGGTCCCAGTCTTATGCACAGGGGACTAGTTCATATATATATATATTTAAATGTTATGTGTATGAGTGTGTTGCCTGCATCTATGTAAGTGCACCCATGTCGTGCAATGCTGATGGAGGTCAGATCAGAAAAGGGTGTCAAATCCCTTGGAACTGGAGTTATGGACGGTTGTTAACTGCCATGTGGGTGCTGGGAATCAAACCCAGGTCCTCTGCCAGAGCGGCCAGTGCTCTTAACTGCTAAGCCATCTCTCCAGCCCCCTATTTTTTATATTTTACATTTGATTGACTGATTTATTGATTGATTAATTGATTGATTTAGTGTCCCTATATGCTGTTGGGAATTGAACTTAGGGCCTTGCACATGCTATGCAAGTGCTCTACCATTGAGCTGAAGCCCAGCCCTGAAGGGACAACGATCAGGTCCAGATTCCAGACCCTGGCCACAATTTTCACATGAGAGGAGCCAGGTGGGACCCATCAGTTACCTGTCCCTGAAGGCAGTCAAGATGCTTCTGGAAGCACATTCTTCAGTTCTGATTTGTATGTGGCCCCATCACTGATGACCATGTTTGTTGGGGAAGATAAAGCTGTGTGACCCGTCACCACTCTGTGCACTGTACCCCAACAGAGCAAGTGGAAAAGTAGAAATCTTCAGGCCCCTTACCCTCTGGTAAGTGGAGCAGAAGTAAAGTAATCAGAGAATCCACAAGTGAAGTCCAGGAAATGTCTTGTATAATTATTTTGCTAAACGAAAATAATTAATCCCATGTTTGTGTAGGCAGAAAAAAATGTCTGTTCTCCAAAAGAAAAAGAAAAAAAAAGATGTCCATGTACTAATCCCAAATCTATACCTGCCTTGACAAAAGGTTCTTTGCCGCTGGGAGTAAATCACAGACCTTAACAGGCACAGCTTATCCTGGATCAGGCTGAATGTGATCTCTAGGGAGATCACAAGGAGCAAGACCAGTGGAAGGTGATGTCAAACAAAGCAGAGAAAGAGCTGTTGAACTGGGAAGCACTGGGCCTCAGCAGCTGGAAAAGACAAGGCCTGGATTCTCCCCAGAGTCCTAATTAGACACCTTGCTGTGGCCCTTTAAGATTTTTTTGATACTGCCAACTTCCAAATTATAAGAGAACCCGTTTGTGCGGTGTTGAGCCACTACATTTGTCGCCAGTTATTTCTGTGACAAAAAGAAACGGAATGCAGAGCTGGATGCTTAACAATTTGCATAAAGGATTTGTAAAAGCCAATGAAGTTGTGCTGCCGAAAGAAAGGATAATTTGGATTATAGCTTCATAGTGTGTGTACCATTGCACATGTGTGTCTGTGTGTGCATGTGTATAAACAAAACTGCTGCTTCCCAGAGTTCCCTGCTGTAAACAGGCCATGAAAGTCTCAGTGTGTCCTGTCCCTAGGATGCAGCCCCTCCCTGCAGGTGGACTATGCTACCAAAGACAAGCCACTGTCTGTCCTTCACCACTATGCTTGTGACTGGAGCATAGTGCTCAAATGGCTCTCCAAGGGGCCATGACCTGACCTAAGTGCATAAGTAATCAAATGGTTGAGTGACTTGGATGCTTAGATTCAAGTTTAGTCCCTTGTAACTCAAGGTGTCTGCTGAAGTACAGATATTCTTGGAGTAGACAGAGAATGACCATGGGGTGGCCATGGGAGCCCAGCTTGGTACCCGTCCTACTTAGCATTGTCAACTTGACACAGCCTAGAGTCATCTGAGAGGAGAAACCTCAATGAAGGAATTTCCTTTATCAGTTTTCTCTGTCTGTGAACATGTCTGTGAGGGACTGTTTTCGTGGTTAATTGATGCAGGAGATCTCAGACCCCTTTGTGCAGAGCCATCCCTAGGCTGGTGGTCCTGAGCTATATAAGAAAGATAGCAGAGCTTGAGTGAGCTAGAGAACAAGCCATCAAGCAGCGTTCCTCCATGGTTCCTGCCTCCAGGTTCCTGTCTAGAGTTCCTGCCTCAGTGTTGGACTGTGGCCCCAAAGCAAAAGCCAAATAAACCTCCCCCACCTTAAGTTGCTTTTGGTCAAAGTGCTTTATCACAGTGACAAAAAGAAAACTAGGACAGTACTTGCACTCACACTGGTGTTTCTGTCTTTTGCAAGCATCCCACTACTACAAATACAAGCAACAGTTCATCTTCCCAGGTGAGTGGAGTGGGAGATTGTGACAGCATCATCTAAGCAGGCCCTGGTGAGGGGCAGGAGTTGATAGGACAGGTGGAGGGAGATCAAGAGCAGAGAGGGTGCTAGTAGGGTTCCCACACCCAAGATAACAGTTGGACATGGAACAAGAAAAGGTGAGGGATCTAAAGGGCAGCACAGGATCTGAGGGGGTTGCAGCACAGTGGAGTCCAGAGGCTCAGATGATCAAAGGGTCCATTTGGACTGAGATGTGAACCAAGTGGTGTCATCATCCCAAAGGGAGTTCAGGAATGGGGAGGTTCAAGCGTGACCAATGGATGCTTGGGTGTTGTCCACACACCCTCAGATGGGGAGGGGAAACATTAGAGAAGTACATGCAGGAGCTCTTCTAGAAACTGGTCCATCTCAACTGATAAAGCCTAGATTGGTAAGGCAGGGAGAAGGGGCTGCTGGCCAATGCCAGACCTGCGATATGGGAAAGCTACTATTTCTCCTAGGCATCAGATCTCTTGGAGGATGGGAGCTGTGGGTTCCCGGGTTGATCTCTGACTATCCAATCTCTGCTTCTCAGATGTGGTTCCTGTACCAGAGACACCGACCCGGGCACCCCAGGTCATTCTGCACCCAGTCACCTCAAATACAATGTAAGTGCATTTGCAACTTCACCCCCTACCCTGACCTTCCACACCAGGACCTTCAGCCTGCTTGTGTCCTCTGCCTTCATTCTTCATCTACCCGAAGGAGATGGGGTGAAGGACAGAGAGAGTCACAGGTCTGGCCCCCTGGGTGACAATGTTAGCCCCCCCCACCATGAGAGCCAGCTCTGCCTGTGTGTTTCTGGCCTTTAGGAACTGCAGTTCCTAAAGATCACACCATTTCCTCACCTCTCCTGCCTGTGATTACAGAGACAACTGTCCCCACACAACAGCTAGAACTTAATTTATATCACAGCCTCCCTTTTAAAGTGCCATTTAAGCTGCACCTGGTGACACCTACCTGTAATCCCAGCTGCTTGGGAGGTCAAAGGAAAAGTCACAATTCAAGGTCTGCCTGGGCAACTTAGTAAACCTTGTCTAAAATTTTGAAAATCTAAAAAGGGCTAAAGATGTAGCTCAGTTGTGAGGCCCCAGGTTCAATCCCTAATCCTGAAATAAGGAAAAAAGAGAGAGGGGAAGGTCAGGGAGGGAAGTGGGAAGAGAGGGGAGAGGAAGAACAGGAAAGGGAAAAGAAAAAGCAAGTATAATATAGAGTTACACCAGGGCTCAGAGAACTTTAGACCTTGAGACAAATCCCAGCTAGCACTTGTTTTTATAAATAAAGTTTTATTGGAACAGTATCATGCCCATGTATTTACAGAGCAGTGCCTGGCTGGCGTCTCCATATACTAGGAGAGTTGAGGAGTTGTACGAATCCATACAGTTCACAAAAGCCAAATGTATTGACTTTCTGGCCCATGGCAGAAAGAACTTGCCAGCCTCTGGCTTTTCTACCACTATAATGTTAACAGAAGCTAATTTTGGAAAAAATTAGATCATTCTGTAAAAAAGGAAAGGAATAATCACCACTTAGAATCTCACACAGTTACAGTCTCTCTCTCTCTCTCTCTCTCTCTCTCTCTCTCTCTCTCTCTCTCTCTCTCTCTTTTATACCCTATTTTACATACTTGTGATTCATGATAAATGCAGTTACTGTCTTGTTTTGTGCTCTTTAATGCTGTAACAGCACATTTTTCATATGATTCTAGTCTTTCATAGACAGTGTTCTAATAACTGTAAATGTCATGCTGATGGAGAATAATTTCCTTAACTATTTCCCTGTTACTGAGTTTTATGCTGCTTCCCAGAGTTCCCTGCTGTAAACAGGCCATGAGAGTCTCAGTGTGTCCTGCCCCTAGGATGCAGCCCCTCCCTGCAGGTGGACTGTGCTATCAAAGACAAGCCACTGTCTGTCCTTCACCACTATGCTTATGACTAAGTCTAGGGCATGCTGGGGTGTGATTAGTTTCCCAAATAGCATTTCTGCCTGCTTGCTTTTTTTTTTTTTTTTCCTCACTCTCTCCTAACTGCTCCATCCTGTTTGACCTACGTCAGGACTTTGTTAAAGACCAACATGGTACATCTCTGAAATCAAAGGAGCAGCCACTTGCGAGGGGGAGGGGGGTAGGGATATTGTGCTGATACGGAGCTCTGGGTCATTTCTCTGCTGCTTATAAACCAACTCCACAATTTGTGCAAGATGAACTCTACGTTATTAATGACAGTCAAGGCTGCTAGGGGGAAAAAAATCTCTGAGTCAAATAGCTACCCGTGATCTGCTTAAGAGTGGATGGAGCGATCAGAAGAAATGCCGCAGAGGAAGTAATCGAATAGCCCTGGCGACTGGAGTCCCAGCCGCGATGCAGGAGACACGGCTGCCCTTGGGCGTTTGGGCATGGGGAGGGACTCCAGCTATATTATCCCCCAGGGAATCAAGTTCCTGGCATCTCTACTGTCACCCTGTACTTTCATTCCACCTCTTCAGGCTGTGCTATAAAAAACTGGTTAACACACACCACATTGCAATGACCCCTCCTTCTGCTTTTAGATCTTGGGGTCTTCTTGACTCTGTCTTGCCAAGACCCCCTTTAGGAAGTAGGTTAACTCTGTCTTCAGGATCTGCAGCATCCTAAGATCTGATGGTAGAAATCTCCTCCCACACACAAAGAAGGTGTGAGGGTCACTATGCTTCCATTGAAGAAATATGAAGGGGGCATGGTTTTCCTTGAGATGCCTGTGTCCCACCTGCCCTGACTTTTCTTTACACTCTGTAGCCTAGCTTTTCTGTCCTAACCGCACTCCATAAGCACACCAGAGTTTATTGACTCTACAAAGATGTCTCTAAAACACACCTGTAAATGTATACAGTACCCCATATCCCCACTACATAATAACACACAGGCAATACACTATCAACACACAACACATCCCTAATACACTCAGTGTGTCTTCCCAACTCAAGACAAGCCCTAAAAAGAACACACTCATCACCTTATTCAGTGCTCACACACAAACATGTTTCTCCTGCCACCCACAGCCAGCATGTTCACAGACCCAGAATGTAACTACAGCTTGCAAGCTTTGTGCGCACACACGTGTACACACACACACACACACACACACACACACACACACACACACACCACCTGTGTCTTCCTGCCCAGAAAAGCTATCTTATTTTCCTTACACACATCCTGATACTGTGCGCTTAGCCAAGTCCAATTCCAACACCTCCAAACATACCCAGCAAGTCTCCCTCCTGGGAATTCCCAGGATACTTCAATTATTCAGTTCATTAGTAGCTATTGGCCCTTGTTGCTTTTAGTCCCTCCCACACACCTATCTATGATGAGTTCTTTTAGTAGTAATGGGATATTCCTTAATGTCAGGAACCTCCAATTCTAGGTCCTTCTAAAGACATAGCACTGTCCCTGGTGCAGAAGTCTAGTTGCATGCATAAATGAATGAACAGACAAACACATGAACATTAAAGATTCTTCTAGAAGGAGGCTAGAGAGATGGCTCAGCAGGTCAAAGCACATGCTGATCTGGCAGAGGACCTGAGTTCAGTTCCCAGCACCCACATTTCATGACTCACACAGCTGCCTGTAACTCCAGCTCCAGGGATCCAATTCCCTCCTCTGGCCTCCACAGGCACCATATAGGTGTGCACATACCCCCACCCACCCACCCACCCACAAATACACGTACATTTTATTTAAAATAAAAATGAAATCTTTAAAAAATGATCCTTCTAGGGGCTGGAGAGATGGCTCAGTAGTTAAGAGCAGTGGCTGCTCTTGCAGAGGACCCAAGTTCAAATCCCAGCATTGCAGAGCATGGGTGCACTTACATACATGCAGGCAATGCACTCATACACATAAAATAAAAATAATTTTTCCTTAAAAAGCTTTAAAAATGATCCTTTTAGAAGATTCTGAACCTAAGTGAAGTTTAGAAATCTGACTCATTTTTTCCTACTGAATGTCTAGACCTGGAAGGACCTGTTCACCTGTGACATTTCTGCCAATTTATAAGGAGTCTGCTAGACTAGGTAAAGCCAAAGTCATAAAGGAAAATGAGCCCTGAACAGGCCAGAAAAATCTATTTAAAAATAATGTCCCTGTGAGATGCTTTTTGTGCTGGGCTGGGGATTGAAATGAAATGGGAGACAAAGGTTTCGTGGCTGGGAATTCCCATTGTGAACTGTTCAGTGTTGCTGACCTCAATACAGGGACCGGCCTTTTCGCCTAAGGCCACGATTCCTTTTCTTTCTTTACAGCTTGGAAGGAAATCCATTACTTCAAATTGAAGTGGAGCCGACCTCAGAGGTGAGAATTGGAGATGGGGAAGTTTCTAGGAGTTGGCAAAGCTGGTATCTCTGATGACAGGGAGGGCTGGGGGCAGGGAGGGAGGTACATGGCTTGTTGATGGATGTTCTATCTCCATGACAATTAAGGATCTGTGGCCCCTCCAGGCTTCGAGCCTAATGGGCCGTATACTACGCACATCACAGCAATGCCAGTTGGGTGGAAATTGGCAAGAGATTTGCATTTTTAATTAAAAAAAAATCAGCTCAGGGCTGGTGAGGGGGTAGATCAAAATGAGGCTGTGCCTTCAAAATAACACACGGGAGCAGGTGGGAGCCCCCAGGATGATGGGCTTGGCAGCACAAGATGAGAATGTTCTGGGCCTCCTTCCTCCTCCCTGGACTGCTAAAGGAATAAAGAGATGTCCTGGGGAAGAGCCATCAAGTCTACCCCCTCAGCCCTTCAGTACACCCTGAGCTGGGGGGGGGGGGGGGGGGGCCCAGGAAAAAAAAACTTCTGAGACTGTAGGGGTTGTGGAGATATGATCCTGGGAGCTGAAATTTCCGGAGTTGGCTTTCCAGAGTCTATCATAGAGAACAGCTAGCTCATGGATTTGGGGGTCCAGAAGACTTGTATGCAGTGAAGAGGCTTCCTCCTAAGGTCATCTTACCAGATCCCAGGGCCCCCAGGAATCCCGACTCTGGCACCTATTGTACCCACATTTCAGGAAGAAGCAAAGAGACCAGGTATCCCCAAACCCAGACACTTCAAGCCTCACACATCCCCTCTGGAGTAATCACAACGAAGTCCTAGAGTCATGTGGCCAAAGTGTAGGTCCCAGTCCAGGCTTGAAGATGTTTTGACTGGGATCTAAATGGGGCCCGGGATCTGCATATTCTCTGGCATTCCTCAGATGTTTGATATGGGTAGCCAGGTCTGTGCTGCGACTTCAGAACTCTTCATCTCCTTCAAAACCTCACACAACCCCAGGGAAGTTTGTTTATTTTATTTTTTTTTAAAACTTCTGCTTTACAGTGAGGTCAGGAAGGACTCAGAGCTAAGTGCAACAATTTGTTCAAGATCATACCAAGGCCAGAGGCTAGCTCACTGGGTCTGAGTGTCCAGCCCATTCCTTAACCACTCACTTTATTTCCTAGTCACCTAGCTGCTAGAGGAACCAGAATTCAGAGCTCTGACCTTCCCAATTTCTGAACCATCTCTTCCAAATTCCCTGGGGGAAGCTAGATGGCCCATGTTGATGAGTGTTCTGTGTCGCATGCAGACACACAACATACCCAGTCTTTTAGCCTGTTGCAGGCAAGGCAAGTCAAAAACAACATAGTAGAAAAAGACTGATGTTGAATTAGAGGAATCCGGCAACCTGAATCTAAGCTCTCTCTCTGCTTAAGGACTTCCCAGGGTGACCAACATCCCAGTTTGCCCAGAACTGACAGGTATCCAGAGTCATGTCACTTTGGGTGCGAAAACTACAAAGTCTAGTCAAAGTAGAATGGTCCCCTTAGCATGTCCTCTCTCTGAGCCTCAGTTTTCTCTTAGAACAAGTTAGTTGGACTACCTTGAACCTCCCTTCAGGTCCTTCATTGTGGTTTGCTTCTAGTTTAGAGTCACCTGGGGAAATAGCTATGTCCGCAGCTGGCAGTAAGGAGGTGTCTGACCTCCACAGTGCGTGCGGCTCCCAGGGAAGACCTGGAGCAGCCATGGCTCTGACCTCTGTCCCCTCTGGCCACAGAATGAAGAGAGTCATGAGGAGGCTGAGGAGTCTGAGGATGACTTTGAGGAGATGAACCTGTCCCTCCTCTCAGCCCGGAGCTTCCCACGCAAGGCCAGCCAGACCAGCATCTTCCTTCAGGAATGGGACATCCCTTTTGAGCAGCTGGAGATTGGTGAACTCATTGGGAAGGGTCGTTTTGGACAGGTGTACCATGGGCGCTGGCATGGCGAGGTGGCCATCCGGCTGATTGACATCGAGAGAGACAATGAGGACCAGCTCAAGGCCTTCAAGCGGGAAGTGATGGCCTACCGACAGACGCGGCATGAGAACGTGGTGCTCTTCATGGGCGCCTGCATGAGCCCGCCCCACCTGGCCATCATCACCAGGTCAGTCCACTCAGCTCCTGCAGGGGCTTCTCAGACCTTCCCTCAAGATATCAGTGTTTCAAGGTCTTCCTCACTGTTTAAGGCTCTAGAAAATGCTTTTAGTGCTTTGAAGTCAGGTCCAATGCCTACTATGTGTAGGGCATCTCTGACACTTGTCTCTTCTTATGCAAAACAAGTGGTTTGTATTAATCAAGGAGTCAGCCAACTCCTGTATCAGGCCCAATAGGATATATGGTCAGCCCTGTAAGCTATACGTTTTCTGTCTTGGTGATTCAGTTCTACTACTGTCATTCAAAAGTTGCCATAGACAATGTGTGAATGAATTCTCATGGCTGTTCCAATAAAACTTTATTTGTAAACCCAGGTCATGGGCCAGATTTGACCCATCATTTAAGTTGAGATTCTGATGACTATGATTGTGGTTCTCACAGAAGGAGTTTGGAAACATGTGGTTTCTTTTGTGAATATCCAGCATCTGTGGGTTGCAGGTACTCAGGAGTAGTTAACAGGGACTAACATTAAGAAAATGGCAGTGTAAAACTATCCACATGTGCATGTGCACTTGCACACATATGAACACACATGCACACATACTACACACGAACAGGTGCAAAACTAAGGGCAAATGGGGGCTCGGTACCTGAGTTTCATTCCCAGGACCTAGGTTAAAAATAAAAAGCCAGGTGTGATGGCACTTGCTTGTAATGCTAGCACATGTGGATCCCTGGGACTCACTGGCCAGCCAGACCAGCCTACTTAGTGAGCCCCAGGTCCCAGTGAGAGACACTGTCTCATAGAAACATGGCAGGTGGCACCTGAGGAATAACAGCCAAGGTTGCCCTTTGATTGCCATATGCACATGCACACAGGTGCACACATACCCACACATATACACACAAAAAAGGTGAAAAGAAAGTGGCAGATGGTAATGACTTTCTCGGACTTGCTCTCTCTAATCTTCCCTGTGACACGAAGCAAACACTGGAAACAAAACAGCTTCGGTTTCAGTTGAACAGCTGTGAACCAGTCTTTGATGTTTCTAAATTCTCCCTTATTATGTTAGAACTAGCCACAGCTGTGGCATTCTGGGTATGGCCTGGGATGCCAATAGGAGCCCTCTGCTTCCCAGACACAGCTCAAGCAATAAAGTCCCACATGAGTTCGTCCCTTATTATCAAAGATGCCAGAGCAGGGGCTGGGTTAGGTCCCCACTGGGGAAGTTTGTTGGAGCAGGAGTTCGAGCTCAGCAGAGCTAGTGTGTCATTAATCTGTTCCCTTGAGTCTGTTTATTAGATTTTGGTGATCAGTGGCAAGAGCATTATCATCTGTCATCATTGATTATGCAAATGGTGGGACTGGTGGGGCTCCTGTACTGAGTGATAAGTAGGTGTGAAGATTGGGAATAGTTTGATATGTATTTAGCTGTCCTTTAACCAGTCACAAAAAATGGGGGCTCTCTTGACTTCCCAGGACAGACTTGACTCTCAAGTCATTGGTTTGGGGACCAGGCTGCTCTGATGAGGCAGTGGTCTGTCCACACCCTTGTGCTTACGGAAGAACTACCCCACAGCATAGTGGTTTCCCTCAATCCTGTGGACAGTTTTGGACTGAGCCAGGCTCTGTGGCTGAGCATTCCTAGATCATTGTGATTAGCTGCCAGGTGTTCAAGGACCTGGTTCATCATGGATGCCCTTCCTCATTTGTCTTCTGGTGGGTACACTCTGAGTTGTGGGGCTCAGTTCTGTTCCAGAGCCTCTAGCCTGGATTTGGCCCCTTCCATGGGGATCTCAGGTTCCCAAGCACAGCAAGAGATCAGGGTCTAAGGAACAGCATTTTTCACACCACTGCTATTGACATCCATTGGCCAAAGCATCTCTTACAGTCAACTGGATTCAAATCAGGGAGGAAGACTGGACCTCAGAGTGGAAGGAGCTGCTGGGAGAAGGCTGTAGATGGTCACTTTCACGACCCTCTGCAGTGACACCTCTGTGCTCTTGCCTCCTCTCTCAAGAGGCAACCCCTCCTCTTCTAGGCAGGAGTACCTACACTTGAGATATACAACTCTGCTGGCCCACAGAACTCAGGGATCCATTCCTTGTATCTCCTTCCTTCCCTCTTCTCAAAGGCTGTCTCATTGGGAATGGATAAACCCAGTTAGCAACCACCCTTGGAAAACAAGTGGCCATTGTGAAAATGTGTCACTCTTCCCTCAAGCCCAGCTGGGCCTCAGCCTTCTTCTGTTCTGGACAGAACTCTGAGCCCCCTCCTCATGTGCCATAATGACCCACAGATTTCACAAAGCACCCAGTCTTTTTCTGGCACCACAATAAAAACCCCACAGCTTTGGAGCACGGAATTGGTCTCTGAAGTGTTTTGGTATTTTGTATGAGGATGCCAGATGAGCCTGAAGAAGTGCCATTTATTCCCAATTATTGTGTTATTACATATTTATCATGGGGAGGACTTGGTGTGCCCCCGTTCAACACCGTCTACTTGTTGGTCCTTAAGAGTTCCCATCTGAATGTTCTATTTGAAACCAAATATTTGAGTAATTTGATTAATCGCTTGCATTCACATGATTGACTGTTAGAGGTCTATCATTGGAGGCTAGCCAACTGAATAGAACAATTTTGAGGACCCTGGTTTTATTTTTACAGAGAGCATAAAACCAGATAATTACCTGGCATATTCCAGATAAATCCACAATGGTGTGTTCTAGCCAATTACTTAGTAATTATCATCAGAGTGAACAAGTATTTCTGAGATTAGTTTTCTTGTAATGCGATATGTATGGCTCCTGGGAAATGAATAATAACCAGCTAGTTACCCAATCACTATATCCGCAAATACAATTCGAATCTGGCTGGCTGAATTATTTCACGATTGAGCCATTATGGAATTACTGCAAAGCAATCGGCAGCCTGTGCAATTGCTCATGTTAAAAACTCCAAATGGAGTTGCAGAGCCAGTGCTGAAGGAGTGAATGACAGCACCCCTCGTCCTTCCGCCCAGCTGCCGGGTTCCCCGGGCCTCAGTTTCTGCATCTGTGAGGTGAGTAGGCAGAGGCAGATGTCTGTGCCTGACTCTGACAGAATGCTTGGGTCCTCTGAGAACGTGCAGTGTGCAGTGCAGCTGGGAACAGCTCTGAAGCAGCAGCTCCCCAACAACGGTCTGTTTGGAACTCATGGAGTCGCTAAGGCTGTTCAAGTGCAAGTTCCATGGAGCTGCTGTGTTCTCTTCTGGTTCTGAAGGCTTGAGTGGAACTCACTAGACTGCTGTCCAGGCATAGTCAGAAAGAAGGGACCTGTTTTCTAGCATCCTATGACTTCTGGCTTCTTCCTCCATTTCAAGGCCAGCAGAACATCTTGTTTCTGTGGTTACACTTTCCCTGGTGTACGATGGGACACACATGTGATAGGACAGTTGCAACTATGCTTGGGGCCTGCCCAGATAATCTAGACCGCCTTCCATCTCAAGATGTTTAACCTAACCCCTTCTGTAGCAGTTGTTGTCTACAGGAACCAGGGCCTAGAATTCCTCTGAGGCCATTCTTATGAGAAGCAACTTGTGAGCTAAGATCTACTGAGATGGTCATAACAACAGACAGGCAGAGGAGGAATAGCCCAGGTCCAGCAGATACAAAAGTCTTGAGGCAGCAGGTCCAGAATGAAGCCAGTAAAGGAGGGAGAGAGTTAGGAAATTGTCTTCAAGATGCCAGGTGATTGCAGGGCCGTCCAGGCCCTGGAGAGGGTCCTGGAGTTTAGGAAGGCAGGGCAAGTTTTCATGATACATGTACTCACTTCCGGGAGGCGTGGGGGTGGGAGAGGGTTCCTGCTGGATTAGCTGCTGCCTCCTCTTGCTCTCAACTGTTTGGATCAATATGTGAAAACTCCCCACTGCAGAGCAGAGATGGTGTCAACTAAAACAAGCACCGAAAGACACAAGTAGAGGAGCGCAGTGCAGGGGCCATCTTGGATGTTGACTTGACATTTTCCACCTGTTTGGGGCTCCTAGAAAGGATGTCTGGATGGATCCTTTGCCTTTCAGCAAGGTGCAGGTCAGAATACTTTCCCAGGGCACGAGAGAGCAAGGAGGCAGGGTGGGCCATGTGAGGGCTGTGATAGAGAGAGGCTTGGGCCCTCTCTATCACAGTGCCTGCAGGAAGAGCTTTAAAAAATGTCTAACTCAGTGCATGTCATCAGTCCCCTCCCTGGGTTCTGGAATCTGGAGACAATTAAGTCCTGTGAGGTTGGTTCACCTGTGTGCATGTCACACATAGCCGCTGCCCATCTCCCAAGAGTGAGCTAGCAATGAAATCCCAGGGGTCTCCTATGTACAGCATTTTAAATCCAGCAATTATCAGGGACTAGTCAATACAATAGATTATTTATTTCCAACTCTGTTTCCTAGTCCTTCCAATCTAATCACATCACACTGCTAGATCTGACAGACAGGAGCACGAGGCCATGGCCCAATGCAAACACAGTTCAGTTGGTTGGATAAGATCTCAACTTGCTTTTTCTGCAACTTGGGGACTTGTGTCTTTTTGGTTTGTTTTCCTTCTTCAGACCAGTTTGATTGTCCTAAATATAACATTGCAAGAGTTGGGGGGCCTGAGCCCATGAGGATTTCACCCCCACCACTGAGTGGCTTCAACTTCCCTTTATGTTCAGAAAGGCTGAATCGGTTCCCTTTATGAATCACAGCTGAAAGGATTTTTTGTCTGTCGCTGCCTTTAATTGTGCCATGAGCGGGACTTTTGTGAAGGAAGTGCTATAAATGTCCGTCGTCATTAGCATCTTCTCATGTACGTTTGCATATGCCTGTTGGAAAGCAGTCACGTGACCAGCTGAGGACTCTGACTGAGGACCTCTCTGCTGGTCACCACTCCCTCCCATCTCCAAGATGCTGAATTCGAGTGTGTGACATCTGTCATCACTTTGAAAATATTTTGTGTCATATTGCCCAAGTGATAACTCAGTTGTTACTGAAAATACAGA